TCTGTCTCTCCTAACTGCGATAGTTGTGAAATAATTTGCAATTCTAATGAGAATAGCGCTTTTCCTGCTGGTAGAGTGCAATGTGACACACTGACTGACTGACAAAATGCCTGAAAATGAAAGATAGCTTCGGCGTGGGTGTGTAAGTGTTTGATGGAATTTTAAGACACGATTCTTCTGTTTTAAATTAACTTTTATCTTTGAGAGTAGAAAAGTAATTGAATTTTTCCTTCAAGCACTGTCATTGAAAATTCCTAATTTTCTACAACAACTCCAAGTACCGTACCTTTCCACGCCGACAATAGAGAGTGTGATGGAGGTGACAAAAACGCTGAGCAGCTGAAAGTATTGCGATGTAATACACAGCCAGGCTGCAAAAATCCACTGGCCAAAAGCAAAATCAGTGAAGGTGTAAGGGACGCATAGAACCCCTAAAATGATGTCACTCAGAGCAAGATTGATGAGATTGAGTCTAATGGTTCGAGCAGATTCACTGCCTGCCAAGCAAACGACAATGACGGTGAGATTGCCGAGCAGGGCGAAAAGTGAGGTGCTGCTGTACAAGGCTATCAGTGACAGCTGACCGAAGCGACTGGGCACTGCCTCAAGCACGGTTACATTGAAGCAGTGAGCCTCATCAGCGGAAACCACCTCACTTAGGTCAGCCATCTGTTTGCTGAGATGCTTTGATGAGTCGATGAAGAAGAAAATGCAGAGTCGATATCGGGCAGGCAAGTGAATCACTTCAAGTGCCGATTTTTTTCAGCGCTCCTGACAGTACCATGTTTCTGCTGCTTTTTGGTGTGTTTTATGCACAATTTTCAATTTCTACGCGCTTTTTCGCACTTTTCGGTGATTATGCCAGCCATTTGTAGTGTGTGTACACTGCACTGTACTGTCTATGTTGTGTGTGTGTTTTATCAGAACAGAGAATTGGCAGTTTAGTTTCGGCAAGGCTGCGGCTGGTGCTGCTGCATCAGCATTTGCGGGATGGGAGATGGTTGTAAACGAAACTGGGAAGTTTGTGTGGTTGTGTGCTTAAGCACCAATTGACAGTCGTACAGGGTGAACATTTGTCTGGCGTGCTTGTGTGTGATTTGATGGTTTCAGTGATGTTAGGTGAATGTAATGAATGATTTGAGTGATCAGACCACAGAGACACACCCCGTGTAGCAGACAATTGTAAACAAATGGTCAGTAGTGTTGTGCCAACAGAGAGACAGAGAGAGAAAAGAAAGAAAAGTTCAGTGGCAAATGATTCCAAAAAGTGTAGTGATGGTGGTGGCTGTGAAACTGCTGCCTGAAAGATGCAAATGATCATGCACAGGCTGATAGTGACATTTCCCTCGTCAGTCAGGCAGTAGGTGTTATTGCTTCGACTTTTCACTCTCTAATCCACCGAACGGCACACGCACACTTTGCTCTTTTTCTGGTGCATAACGTCAAATTTTTTGTTTTTCGTGTGATCAGACGGTTACATCGGTTGGCTCACATTGCACCACAGTTTTCACGATGACACATAGATGTGCCAGAGGAAGTCAACTGACAGGCGATGGTTGTTTATGTTCTTCCCTTTGCCCAAAGGTGCCATAAAACTTCCGGACTTTGTTGAACGGTATTGTCTTTTTCTAAATAACATTAACTGTGTCAGCCAATAAATATCCACCTTCTGACTGAGTGAGCAGTGTAAAAGTTTAATTATGGCCATTTAATTAATTATACAAAGAATATCTTTCTGTTAACAGATAAATGCAACATTTCAACGGTGCTTTAAATTATCTAGTGGAAAATAGGATCACCGTGCTTTTTAGCGATCAGGGCAAGCTTCTCATTGTCTAGCACAACATAGGCAATTGTGTCGACGACATTGTCCAGGTACACCTGCGGCTCAATGCTCTCAAGGCGGAACTTTAAGCTCTTGATGATCGCATCGATTTCCTTCTTCTCAGCAGGGTACTTCTTCTCTAGATTTTCAGCCGCCTTAAGAACATTCTTCAGGTACATTAGCACTTTGCCCTTGTTGTCGTGGGGATGATCAGGATTGCGCAGACGATAGCTCAAGTTGGCCAGCTTCTCATTGTTCAGAGCAAGATCGGCAATGTTGTCGACGATGTTGGTGAGCTCCACCTGAGACTCGATCACCTTGATGCGGAACTGCACATGGGCGATGATCTTCTTCACTTCCGTAGCCTCAACAGTAGTGGGAAACTGGGTCTGAATACTATTGGCAAACTTGATGAGGTTATGAGCGTAGGTGAGCACCTTTGTCTTGTCGTCATGAGGCAGCTGATCGGGATGGCGCATGCGGCGGTCAAGCTTAGCCAGCGTCTCATTGTCTAGAACCAGGTAGGCAATTGTGTCGACGATGTTGGTCAGCTTTTCCTGTGATTTGATTTCTTTAATTCGCCATTCAGTGTGCTTAGCGATCCTCTCCGCTTCAGCAGCCTCAGGGGTGACTGGAAAGTCCTTTACCAGAGCTTTGGCAAGAGCGAGGACGTTGTTGGCGTACAGTTCTACCTTTTCCTTGTCAGACTGTGCTGGGGCAGCTGTAATTATTAGTGAAAAAAATATGTCAGCTCAAGCTTAAAAAACATTTAAAATGTGTTCTCACCAATTGCAAAGGCAACAAAGGCCAAAAGGGCAATAGCAATAAAAGCTTTCATTGTTTTAAAAAGTTTTTGCTTTTTGTTTAGTAAAAACTAAGTTGTTGTGAATGATTTGGAGTGATTTGTGTTCAACCTTTATATACCAAATTAAGTGCTCTAAAAACGAGTTGCAAACAAAATGACTAACCTTTGGAGTATTTCATTCAAACACTGTAAGTTAATTGTAAGCAATTGGATTTGTACAGCAAACTCTAACGGCACAATAGCTGTTTAACAATCTTATCTTTGATTTGATTTGATACAAACTTTTACTTTAATTACTTAAGGTAGCAAAGTTAGGGGCTATCATACTTAAAATAAACCCAACAGTGGAGTACAATAATCTATACATTAATTGATTAATACTGCTTTATTGATGGCTCCAATGTGCTAGTTTCAGCGTTGCTGTGAAATTTTCCAATGATTGCATTGTTATTCTGACCATTATGCAAAACAATTAAAACTGTCAAAAACTGCAACACATTCTTTTACTATTAGCAATGCTTTGTTTAATTTCACAACTTTTGAAACTAGCAAAGGTAGAAACTAAAAACCCCTTGACTGCTCATCACACACCTAATCAAATCTGTCATCGAATCAACAAAAAATGTATTGTATAACACTGTTCAGCGTTCCAGTAGACAAAAGAACTGGTGACTGAGACGAATTAATCTCTGTGTGTCATGATAGGCAGTCGAAGCTGAAGAGAACACCACCAAGCAGACGATCAAAGTCGTCAGCCGAAGCAGAACTGCCAGCAACAGCAGCAGATATATCGATGCAGCCGAGATA